GAAACGTCAGCAATTGTGTTCTAATAAATTCTATATTAACAACCTCGTGTCTGCTTATTGATGAAAAACATTGAATCCTAGCATCGTCCTTTCGACTGCACTTTCGATAACGCTGACTGACCTTGCATCCTGCTTACGCAGCGACCAGGTTTCTGACGCATACGTTAAGGCAGGAAGTACCTTTTAGTAGAGATGGTGGGTAGGGAGTCGGGTTTTCTTTGTTCTCTTCTCTACACCGACAATCAACGGGAGTACGGGTGATACAGGTGAAGTGGGAATGCTTTAGTGCGGTTATCTCCGGACTTCAGTAACAATAAACCAGATCAACATTTAATGACATTCGTGATAAAAAAAATCTTCAAGCAGCTCCGATGTAACAGAGAAACCTCCGTGGATAATGGAAGCGAGAAAGCGAATCGAATACGAGAAGTGCTATGATCCGCAGAGCAGACGTGAAAGAGAGGTTCTTTTCCTCCCGGAAAATTCCGACTTCATATCACTTGATATTTTTTTCTCTGTTAAACCTTCAACTGAGATTAGTTGGTATCGTTTCAACCATTACGGATATGCACAACGATTCCGATCGTGGTGAGTTTCACATACCCACGTGTTGGGTCCATAGAGTTCACATCAGTGCATGGCATCTTATTCCAACGAATCGTCGCTGATGTAATCCGCTTCTGTCGTTGTTTCTCCTCGAGAATCTTTCGCTAAACAAAATTCGTCAATTACCTAATATACGGTTTTTAATTATACCTCACCTGTCTTTGTAGGTTTTGAGCTACCCAATCGGTATTTCCGTCCATCATCAAAAGAGATCTGACTCTTAAGTCGCAAAAAATTCTGAAACGATTCATTCAATTTTCTGCGGGTATCACATTAAGTATCTTTTCTAGTGCGCAAAGATTTTTAATAGTTACAAAAAAGTTGTTGGCTTTTTGAACGTGCGAAGTAGTGGGATCGTTTTCATAGATGCATTCATGAACTCAGTGCTGTTAAATACTACATCATTATTTTGTTAAATGCAATTTTTCATTCACTTTCTTATTTAAGTAAAGATTTTTCGCAAAATATTGATAATAAGTAAATAGTTGGCGGCTAGAACTTGCCTCTTGATGAAGATGTTCACCGATAAAGGATAGAATGTTCTGTGAAAAGACGTATGTTACCGTAATTTCCAAATCTGTATTTCCATTCTTGGTGAAGGCAGACATCGCTCGCGTATGTAGACGTGCACATCGATGGATGGACGGTACCATGACGTTTTCTGTTGATTTTTTCAAATGTTACAAATTTGCCGCCTCATCGTGGCTGGGAGGTGTTTCTGGGTGTTGGACTGCACTGTACAGCGGTGGGATTCGTCTCCCACCCCGGAAGGGTCTCCCAAGCTGAGAAAAAGTCCGGCGTTCTTATTAGGAAACCTAGTTAAGAGTAAACCAATACCAGGATCTACCACTCCACAAAGGCTGCGACTGCCTGTGGTGGTGAAGACCTAGGGCATAGTTTGGTCAGGCTGACCTCGCGATTTCAGGAAACCACAATGACTTAAATGGCAAGTCTCCGAAAAATGGCGACTATGCTGGGGTCCGCACAACTAGTGAGGACGGGCCGTTCAAGTAACAAGTAAGTTATAAAAGGATAAAGGATAGAGCTCGGCGTTGATCAATCCCTGAGGGATACGCCATGCATTCAACCTCATTAAGAGTTGTTGGAGATGACTGCATACATATCTAGCCTTCACAATGGCCTAGTGATGTATCGAGCTGGTGCCGCTATTCTCCCAGACAAGCATGGAACCAATTTGCCGACCCCAATAGGATCGATGGCTTGGTGAACCTTGGGCGCCGGGATCAATCCCATGTGTATTGTAGGGTGCCTCTTACCACTGTCGCTACACTCGTCGTCAAATAAGATACTGTATCACAAATGTAAGTGGCATGTGTAAGTGTCTGATAAGTGGTTTATACATCTAATTTGCTCTTTAAGATATAATAAATTCAAAGGATGGGACAGCACCGACTGCTACTCTGGATTGACTTCGAAATGAATTTAAGCGCATGCATGCATGTTATCCCTCTTAGCTACCTATGGTTTCCTTTTAGCCAAAAAAAAAGACAATAATAGAAGTAAACCACATTTTATGCCAATGGCTGTTTTTCATGCTCTTTAGACGCACAAGAGAGAATAATGAAAAAGTAACTGATAACTGGAGTCTCTCAATGATTAACACGGCAGCAGGTAATGCAGGTAACTTTAAACATATGTGCGTTCCCTTTTTGATCTATTAACCATATATGTCCTGCATTCATATACTGGCCCAATACTTCCACTTCAGCTACTCGGTTAGTAGTCTCGCAACAGTCATTGAAAAAAGTCTTCAAATTTTCTTAAGAATTCGCGTAGTCTTTGAGCACTTTGTGTTTCTAATAAATGTGGCTAAAAGTCACTCGAATTGATTCCTTCGAGAGCACTGGAATGGCTCTCCTAGAACCTTTCCATATATTCATCACAAACAGGTAGTGGCCACTGTTGGTTGAATAGAAGGAATTTTTGCCAGGAAACCCTAGTACCAATTTACCGACTGAGGGATGGGAAGTCGCGTTTGGCTGGGCGAGTCTCGATTCAGCATGCATACGTTTAAGGAGCAGCATTTTTAAACACTGCATTTTGTAAGCAGCTTTTTACGATAAAAAGATAGAGCATTCGGGATTGAACAATCTTTGGAGGACGCGTCACGCATTCCACTTCATCAAGCATCGTTAGAGGTGATTTAATGCATATCTAGCCAATGACCCGCGGTGACCTGCCGATCTATCAAGTTAGTGCAACTATCCGGCAAGACAAGTTTTGTAACAATTTGTCAACTGCGGAATAACGAAAAACTTTGTAGGAGCAAGATGCAGGATTGAACCAAAGACTACGTATTTCTCGCAAGCGGCCTCTAAGGATTACGCTACAAGCACCTAGTCTACCTGCGGTATTTTTTATTGAATATGCCATTTTTTGCAATTAATTGATTAGTCTTGCAGTGTTATATATGCTTTTTATAAGGTCATAATATACGGATAAGTGTCATTTCATTAAGGCCAAATAGACCAACTCCACGGGATTCGGATAATCACCATGAAAGCTTCCCTACTGTTAAGACCCTAGGTCATAGTGTGTGGCGACTAGACAGCATTCATAATGCTATCAAATACTGCATAAAAATTAGCGTAAACGATGGCAATGTTTTGTGGTGCAATACTTCTAACCAATCACAATGTTTGAGACTATCCATTTTAAAGATATTTGTAGAACTCAAGTTGCTATGTGACCACTAGGCCGACTTACTTACAGCAAACTTACAAAACGAAGTTGTTAATCAAGCTCATTGGAAAACTAAGGTGCCGAGTTATACATGCGCTTAAAAATAACATTACAGGTATTTGAATGCCATTGGCGCCAACTTATAATACTCTGAGCTTGAGTGATAGCAAGATAAAACAAGTGAATCTGGAACTAAAAATTTATCCACTAAAAAGCTCACTAAAAAAATTCTGTTGGTTCAAACTGCCCAAAGAATGGTTCTACCATACTATCTGTAGTTTCAAGAGAAAATGGGCCAAGTATTCCAAACCACAGTAGAGTTTCAGCGAAACGAATAACCATTCGCTTGGATCCAGTTAGTCCTTATAGGGACGAAGAAGTAGATTTTAAAAGAAAATAGCTAAGATTGCGGGACTTTTTTGTTTTATGAATATCTAGTTGAGGTAATTTTGTAAACAAAGTCGAAAACTAAAGCACCATTCTTGGGAACTGGATCTGAAATCGGAATGTTGTTCACAGAAATCATCCATCTTGCACCAAAGGCTTATCTAGTCTTTCTAATTTCTACCTAAGGTCTGATCCACCCTGATCTGATGTCACCATCATGATCTTGATCTTGATCACCTCTACCATCAACACAACTGTGGCCACTGGCACTTCAAACGGCAAAGGAAATAAGTGGTAATCGCGCTGGGACCCACACAACCCATAAAGATGGGCCGTTCCCATATCCGGTTTATTACGACCAATGGTGAATGTCACTAAAAACTTATTTCTTCTTAACAGTATATTTTGCCAAAAGGACCTATCCGATTGCAATGTCACGTCATGTATTGCTTGCTACAGAGTTATTGATTTGTGGTAAACGTAATTATTATATGGAATTAATATAGGATAAAGCAATATGAAAATACTTAAAATTTTAAGACGAATTCCGAGGTAATTAGAAGCAAATCCAGAAGATGTTTTCCAATTATTGCTGTTGATGAAAATGCACTTGATACCAGAAATATTTCGAGAACAGTAGAATCACCGGAAAAGAACGGGGCAACTTTCGAAAGACAAACGTAAAAGACGATCAAAATGACTCAAGCTTCACAATAAACGTTACCACCGGCAATTGTCGGTTACCATGGGGACAGATGCTGTTAGCGTTTTCTGGAACGCCTCTCACCCTATATTCATCCTTTCCTCTCTAGACTAATTCTCTATCTTAACAGTAATACGTTTAGCGTTTTTGTGACTTCAGATCTGCTTTCTATGAAGTACGATCCCTGTCGGTCACTAGAGTAACGCAGGAGTTCAGAACTTTATAAATTTCTGAAAGAGACGTTGCTCTATCGCATTAATCGCGTATGGAACGTTTATACGGTGCCTATAGAGTTTAAATATTTTTGACATTAAAGCTTTTAAACGTGTGGTAATGAATTTGAGTTTTTAAAATTTCCAACGGAGCAGCTGTAGTTACACACCTAGGAAATGTATTGAGGAACACTACCACGTGTGGCGATATCGCTCCAGTTAATTTGCTGTTCGAAAAATGAGTCTTGAAACAATAAAGCTGGAGAAATATATATGTCATGAGATCCAGTAGATCGGAATACCATCGTGGTAAAGCAAGAAAACTTTTGTTCTGGACTTTCAGATTCCAACAATCGCTAGTGCAGTTGGTAGAATTCAATACGGGCTGAGACGTGCCATTGTAAAATTGAATGCTGGCATTATATTCGCATCATATTACTTTATTACTTTTGTAGAAGTCAAAGCGTCATCTAAGTATAAAAGTACTCATGAAGACATAAACGAAACTCCTTCTTTCATCCCTTCCAGAATGTTGCTAGCTCTCACAGCATTGTCTGATAAGTAGATTATTGATTGCAACGGCGATTGCGTCAGAGCATTTGAAATTCTGACTTTGCACACTTAGGTGAAATACTCACGGAAAGATTCGTCCGGATCTCAGTATAGAATCCGTGTACTACGATTGTGCTGGTTGGCTGGAGCTTTTTTCCATTGGAGTTCTGAGATATTGATTCACCCGAGCCATCCCACATTCCGCCGAGTTTTATTCAATAAAAGTTTGCAACACGACTTATGAATACAAAATTTTGTTCTCATTCTTGAGATGAAGGTACTGTTTAGTGCTTCCTGCCTTGGGATTAATTTAAGTGAACATAGAGTGTACCGAAAATTAGTGAAACAGGTCGATAAGACGTTTCTTCGAAAAGAAATGGAGACGTCTCCAAAATTTTCGTGAAGATTGTGTGATCCAAGAAATGTAGTTATGCATTTGCTTCGAATATTAGAGCTTAGGTTGGTGACTCAGGTCGCTCTAAAATTAACCAGCTTTGGATTTCTCCAATAATTCAATCCTTAAGTGGCCAACTTTCACGAATCACGCGAATGGTTTATGGGCTAAAATCGCATTCGCTGCTTAAAAGACTGTTGGACAACGGGAATATCTTCCATCTTATCCTCTGGAAAACGATATTAAGATTCCCAACTCGCCATTTGCTTCCACCTTTCTGAGGGGTTGCCACTAGAACTTTGTTAACTATTAACATCTTTTTACTCCTAGAGAAATATTTGGATGGAGATATTGAACTCCTTATCAGCTAGGAAGAGACAATGGTGAAAATGACCCTCGCCTCGCAATTCGACATCCACACATATGAGTATCTAAGCATCTCCTCGCCTGCTTCGAGAGGCTAAATCATTAGGTTGTGGATTTTTTGGAATAGCATATGATGAATAAGACTTTAAAATTAAGGATGGGTAGCAAATACCCGCTTTTGCTTGGTGTGCAGCTTGGTATGCTTCTCGCTGATCTCGCCTTCAATGCCGCTTCTGTATTGATGTTTGGAAACCGAACAGTGCTGCTAATGATGTATATGTAAGTTTTCTATTTTCTAAAATTATTGTCTAAAAATAAATGAGCTTCACGCCGTACTACTGTAAATCAAATTTCGTTTAACTTCGGTGTGAATAATCATTATCCAGGAAACCGAGCAGCCGCTGCTGTTGATCTGCATGCATGTTTTCTATTCCCTGAAATCATTGGTCAAAGGGGAATGGGCCTACTTTCGTGCCAGTTCGACATAGCACGAGTTTGTTGCCAAGCCTTATTCGTCTAACGCTTTCAAGTTTTCGCTCCTTCATAGGCGGATTGACCAGAAACGATTGTCCTCAGCCATTAATTCTTCCGATTTGGGTCTTCGCAATCGTATCGAGTTCTGTTAATTCTGTTAGAGTGTTATATCCAGCTCTGTTTGAATGAAAATGAATCGAGCCCGAACCTCTGAAGAAGACGAAGGAGTCGAAACGTCTGACGAGTAAATTTTGGTAACAACCCCGTCTTAACTTGTGAATAAAAAAGAATAAACTAATTTTGTTCTCATTCGAAATTAAGAGCTCGCTCACTCCAACTTCAATACGTGGATAGTCCACAAAGCTGAATTCCGGCTGAACTTTCAAGTAATGATTTGAATAAAATTGGCTAAACTTCATACAGTATCAAAGAAGATGTTGGAGAGCGGAAAGTAAAGTGATAATGAAGCCATTAATTAAGGGCACGGTGTTTTTTCGATCTCGTTCCCGGCTCACCAGGCCTCACATTCTTCCGACGTCGGGAAATTGGTGCCGAACATACTTTGGAAAAAGTCCACACTCTGTAATCCATGTGGAAACTCTTTTACTTGATGCTTGACACTTGAATGGGCCGACTACACTCGTTGTACGGATCCCAGTATAATCGCCGTTTTTCCGAGATTGGCTGGTTAAGCCATTGTGGGTTTCTGGAATCCCGGTGTTAGCCTGCCCAAAGTCTGACCAACGTCTTCACCACCATAGGCAGTCGTGGCCCTTGTGGATCAGAGGGAGATTTGCCACCATACGAGGCGACTTTGATACCAGGACGGTGGTGGATCCTGGTACTGGTTCATTCTTAGCTAGGCTTCCTAGTGGAAAAGCCAGACTCCTTCTCAGTTTGGGAGACCCTGCCAGAGAATGAATCCCCGCTTGGGTATCTCAGAATTCCGGTGAGAATCGACTAGAACAGCATTTATCAACATTCACAACGAAGGGAAAATCATTAAGCAGGAGTCGAATCCACATGTAAAAAGTTGAGAGAGCTTCGTGGATGATGGACGCAAGGAAGCGAATTGAATGCGAGAAATGCTGAGATCGGTATACGTTTAAGACAGGCGGCGTAAAAGAAAGCGATGCTAGTTAGAGAATAGCAGTGAATATCTCTGTTGTTATCTTTTTCACACAGTATGGCCATTTCCGTATTGCCCTGGAATTCCTTAATGCTAAAGATGAGTTATTACGTGTTTTACTAGACGTCGTATGTAGCTCAAAGTGTTTAGTTCAGATGAATTCCCTTGCAATCGTTCCGTGGGACTGGTGACGTAGCAGGTTTTCTGAGTACAACCTAATATTTAAAGTGGTCAATTTTTCGTCACGAATATGTTGAAGTTTTGTGCAGGCTTTGGGGAATGGGTTAAGAAAATTCGAAGCAATCTTTCATTGGTTTCATGTCATCATTTGTGCAGATTTCCTGTTAAGTTTCAACACGGCTATTCAAGTAGATCGCAACTAATTCTATGCTACTCTAAACTATCTAAAGCAGCCTCGATTCCTTGTCGTTACAAGAGCATCTGCGACATTTTTCTGCAGCTGATGAAACATAAGCAACACAAGCTGCATAAGCTGCGTTGCAGTCTAATTTCGCTTCGACTTCCTCCTCTTCTCGAGAAAGCACTTTGTGATAACGGAGCACTTCACGCTTTTGCATGAAAAGTTAAGGATTGCCCGAAAACTTTTTTGAGAACTAGGTAATGACTATCTAGCCGATGTTCCAGGCAAGTAAGAGAGGGTTGTCATTCGATGTGACATACGGCTTTGCGGAGAGCGTGAACGTTGGCCTGTGAGATAAATTCTTTGGTGTGAAGGGGAGTTCTACTGTCGCTCCAAATGCTCATTATTTTGACGCTAAAATGCATTTCATGAAAACCTAGGGCTTAAATGCCTCTCACCACTTATATTACCTCCGGAGATGGTGGATAAGAATGTCAACTGGTTGATGTATTGTAGCTACTTTTTTTTCACAGATCAAGCAACTTTCTTCTTGCATGAGGTAGATATTCATGTCGTTATTACTACCAACCGCATAAGTTTGACAAAGAACTTGTCACTACCTAGTAGAAGATAGGTAGCCTCAATGGTAACAACTCAAGTGTTAACTTGTTTTTAGCTGAGTTTCAACAGGTGTCCGCTTCTAGAGCGATTCCGACGAGTCTCTCTTTTCGGACTAGGTTGATGTTTTTCTCAGCTGTAAATCAAACTCAAGTACCTAATATTGATTTAGATTACTTGCCAATTTGTTTCTATTTATTTATTGTTGTTCTACATATAATACGATTCCCAATATTTTCACTTAGTTTCTTTTCTTGCATCCGTAAGCCATGGACGTATTCGATCGTTCGTGGGAAGCTAAGACAGTTGTATTTTTTAGGACACTCTGTACTCTTGCTCTTCACTACAGGTTTCCAGAGCAAGTCTCTTGCCTATGAGGCAGCAGGACCATTTCCCCGACAATTCGAGCAATCGCGGACCTTAAAGGGATAAAGCGCTTTGTTGGCGTGCTGTTAAAAAATTTAAATGAAGAGATAAAAAGCCTAATAAAGAATTTGAAAGCGAGGCACAATAATTTTAGAAAGTGGTAGAGAAACTACGATGCTATATTGTTTTTTAGTTTGTTCTTGAATAAAAACATGGTTTTTCAACTGCACTAATTTGAACTTGTTTCAGCCTACAGGACACGTTAATACTGCTATCGGTGGTTGTGTTGGTGATCGCGTTCTCGTCGACGTTCGTCTTTCAGGCGGGTCTGATCTTTCTATTGTTCAAGCGATTTGCTTCGACGCTGATATCGGCTTTCGTCTATCTTGCCTTCACCATTGCCTTCCACTATATTTCTTTGGTTAGTCTCTTTTAGCGATTTAACGAATCCCAGTAGTTATCATTTTACATCTTTGCATCTTCTGTTGAGTCTAAAGTAATACATTTCAGTACATCGTTAGATAAAAGACGCGTGAAGTTTAATGGTAAAAAGTGTCATCAAATACATATTAGATCGACCACTATTTCGAACCCATAGCCCAGGTTCAACAAGTTTTCCAATAATTAGTGGTCGGCAAAGTGGTACCAGTCTTGTCTGTAAGGAAAAAGCACTAAACTGTAAATCAGTAAACCACTATTAGTTCCATCGTATGGGCCATATGTGCATTCCATTACTTCTACGTTTCTACGAATGGATTTAAATGCACAACAGATCCCCCAGTGATTGATCAACGCCGAACAGTACACCTTTTTAAGGAGAAGCAACCATTTAGACGGTTTAGAAAAGTACTGTATGAAAACTTTTATCCAAAGTCATTTCGTATGTTTCTACCAGCTTGAAACATATATCAACAAAAAAAGCCAGTATGAGAACATTCGCCGATGAGTTCTTACTCGTTGAGACCTTCCTTTGTACTTCTGCTGTCATTCTATACAACCTTTGCAAATGAGTCTACTGTGGAAGGGATCTTCTACCAATCTTATTATAGGTGTCCAAAAAGCTTCTGGAGTCTTTAGACTTATCCACTATTGTTCCAACACTTTTTTCTTAACAGCTTTTCATCTATCATTTCAATGACAAGAAAATATAAGTGGTGAGACAAGTAATGTGGAAAGTACCGTGCTTGATCACGCTATTCTTGTAACACATTAGAAATTCGAAGGGTACATGACGAAGACACTGTGCTCAGTGCTAAACAGAAATTCGTTTCACTTCAGAATATTCGTTGGGACAATCCGACGGCATCAATTTTCTTCACACCACACATACTGATTCTCTATGTTGCACAAAAATTCTGTACGTTTAGCCTTTTAAATAATATTTGTAAAAGCGATTTACCATAGACCAAAACTCCAGTAGATACATTTTAAATGTTAAAATCGCTCGTCTAATTGAATGGTTCCTTTTCGTTTTAGGTTCGGCCGTACACTATGCTATGTATAAACGATCCGCACTTCTTCTAGTTGATCCAAAATATCATGGAGACTCGGAATGGTTGAGAAGTAAAATCAGGAAGAGCAGTTAGAAATAAAAAACAGAACCCTTGAAACCTGTTACTTTAAACGAGACTAAACTGAAGTTAAGATTAAGACCAAACTGCAACCAACTAACAGTTTAACGGTGTAGGCTTCGATTCTACTTAAGGAGGAAGGGAATGAAGGTTATGATTCAGGCCAACAAGGGCCAAGCATAAGAACTGAAACATTGCGAAAAAGCATGTGCTTCACTGTACAGCACAGTAATTGAAAAGAAACAATTATCTGCTACAATGATGTAAGATTTCATTAGCAGTTTGGTATGAAATTCATCTTGTTGTAGTGCAGCTCATGATTTATATACTCCGAATTTTATCACAGTGTTTTTTAGAAACGCGGTACAGTCTGGCAGACTTCTCAAAACACTGTCTTCTATACAGTTCGTATTAAACCGTCTAAATTGTTAAAAACCCGTATTTTGTTTGAATTCAAATAAATTGAGTATACATTAGTAGGACGTGTGCAGCGCAGTGGTTACAGGCGCCTTGAAATACAAATGGGATCAATCACGTTCTCCAAACGTCCCTTCACTCCGGGGTGTGCAAATAGGTAACAGACTTGTCTTGAAGGATAGTAGCACTGACTCGACATGTCCGTAGGCAATCGCGAGTCATTGTAAAAGCCAGATGTGCATTCACTCACCTCTAACAATGCATAATGAGGTTGCATGCATGGCACATTTCTCAGGGATAGATCAACGCTAATTGCTTCATTCTTTTTTAAATTTATTCGTTAGTAAAATAAGCATTCGTTCTTGTCACTCTCCAGGACTGTCCATGGAATCTCAGATCAGTGGACGAACACGAAAAGTATTGCGCTTTTTGTGTGAGACTCCCTACGTTTTTGCTGTAGGAAGTGAGTAGGCACTGATAGTTCACCTGTCACTTTCTTGTTGGATTAGTTATACTCATGGGTAGGTTATGAAGCTTTGATGATCTAAGTTTATCTATCAGATGTGACAGGTAGCAACTTCCTTTATATTGCCCAGTTAACTGATTGTGAATTTTTGACCGAATCAATGTCATTGCACGTACATGTAGGGTAAATCTACTGTATATCAGTACTATGGTATGCAAAATTGGCGTTAGATATATAAGCAGGAGAAACTTCTTTTACTTGGTTTCGAGCAGTCCGTATTGATCTCCGAATGTAGTTTTCTTTCTAGGATTGAGCAGGTAGCGCAATGGTGGTAAAGACGTTCATGACGAACGCGGTTGTGATTTGTTCCCACACTAAACTCGCCAAGCCTCGTCTTCCATCGAGATCGAGAAACTGGTACTAGACTTCTCTGGGACACGATGTCTCTCCCTTGTCCACCTGGGAATGCTCTAGTGCGCGTATTCCGGTACCCCAGCTAGAATGAACTCAACAAGCATCAACGGCGCTCATAATGAAGACGAAGAATCCTCAGGCAGCAAAAGAAATATGGTCCACCTCATTTCAATCTACGGATGTTTAAGAGTAAGTACATGGTCGGTTTTGGTTTGCTTTTAAAAACCTGTTCGCAAAGTGGGAATACTCTGCGAATTCTCATGGTTTGAGGTTTGGCACATGACAAATATTGACAAATATCCGTGGTCCGAGTTAGTATTGCGTTCATATTATAATTGACTTCACACAACCTTAAAAAAAGAAGATTGTATTGTGATAAATGAAATTATGATGCCACGACTGACTTTCTATTAACCTCGGCATTGATCAAGTGATTTTCTTCGTATTTTTGTTGAGCAAACGCGAGGTGTTACTATTCTTTGTTCACGATTAAGCTGACGTTTCGGCGAATTTCGCCTTCTTCAGAGCCTGGAAAGGTCAAGTTGACAGCAACTCACTGGGCCAGACGCCTCCATAACCAAACAAAGAAACTCCAAACCAAGATTTCAATCACTTTGAACACAGCTCTGCACACTCACCGCTTTCTATGAGGTTTCCACTAAGTATGTCACGCAGAGACCAACCGCACAGAAATCACGTGGAAGCATAATGTGCCCCTCACATCAGAAAAGCAGTTTTATATACTGCCCTATATCACGCGTGATAATGAGGCATTCTTCCCTGCGGTTCATTTTCGGATTTCTGGAAATAATCCAGAGTGCCTCGAGAGTTTTTCGCGCCTGTGTTCTTGATTCGCGTGCGAGGATCGTGACACATACTTCGAAGTCGTCCGCGTTATGTCCTATGCGTGCCTAGCGGGGTATTTGTTCTTTTTTTGCCGGCTAGGTGTTCTTTCATGCGGTCACAGAGGTGTCTACCCGTTTCGCCAATGTATTCGTCACCACACGTCTTACAGGAGATCAGATAAACTATACCCGAGCTCATGCATTCACCGTCTCTACCACTGGGGCAAATTATGCAATTTTGAGTTTCACATAGACGGTCATATAGGCGGTTACGAACTAGCTGGCGCATAGGACTACTCGGTGGTATTTCAACTACGCTCACCCGATTCTCTAAGCCCGCCCTTCTTAAGCAGCGTTTTATAGCTGTACTTATATCATTTGAGATGAAGGGTAGGATAAACGGGACCCTTCTATCGCTTGAGTTGTCGTTTGGAGGCCTACGATTTCCTCTACACCTATTCTGAGCTACAGTTTCGTAGCCATTGGAAACGGCTATTTGCCGTGCCAAGTTCCGGGACTCCTCTCTCTGCTCTCTTCCCGTGCACACGTTGGTTGCTGTTCGAAACATGTTTCTTATAGGCGCCCTTTTCGTGTGAGAGGGGTGAGAGGAGAGGTAATGAACCAAGATATTTTTACTACTTGGCTTTCGGTACCACTTTGTAATGTAGCCATTTTCTGATAGGTGAATTTGTACGTTCAAAAATGGAAGCCATTTTTCTTTCGGCTTTTCTCGGGTGAACTTATACTCTGACTGTGCGTTTAACAATTCGAAACATTTGTCCATTTCCTCGTGTGTTGAGCAAAGGACAAAGCAGTCGTCTACATACCTACAGTAGAGTAGCGGCCCGAGCAAAAGTTTCAGAAAAACACCGTTTGAGCTTAACTTAACAACATTATGTAGACCTTGGAATGTATTTGCCAAAAAGGATAAAAAAGGACAAATCGTTCGGCGTCGATTAACATCTGACGATAGGCCATGCATTTGACTTCAACAAACATCGCTACAAGTGATTTATCGCGTATCTGGCATTTACAATAATTCCTAGTGACCTACCTACATATCGATTCAGTGCTGATTAACCTCCCAGATGGCTCTGGTACCAATTTGAACGGAGGGATAAGAGGCATAGTCAACAGGATGCACGGGATCAACGCTAACTACCATGTCTGTATTGGTGGGCACCTCTAAGCATTGCACTATATACATCGGTAATTGCATAAGG